TGAACAGCGAGATCCCCTCGACTTTTGAACAATGAAATCCCTCAAACTAAGTTTTTCTCCCGAAAAACATTCAAATCATCTCTCTTGAATACAAGTGCTCACCCTTGTCTCACAACCCAGCAAAAACTCATCAAAAGGCGTACCAAGACTTAAGGGACACTTTCAATAAATAAGCAAGCTGTGAATAACTTGACACATATTCAATTAATTCACTGAACCAAATCTATTGCAAATCATTGTTGCAACAATAACTGCAACATAGCTGTCACGGTCAACTTTCTCAAAACCAGACGAATCAATCTCCTTTCATTCTGAAATCTTCCCAACATTGATAAACGAACTTGGACACGTTCTTAGGCGACATAGGAAGATCATCCAGCTATCAAATCTCAATCAAGAATCAATCAAATCAATTTTTCATCTTTGAATCAATAGTTGACTTACAAAAATAGAAACTAAAACAAGTTTCCAGATCTTTTAGTGACATTCTATAAAAAGCTAGCCAGCTGCACATCTATTTTCAAACACAATCAACCAGCCAAACATTCTCAGAATAATGCCAATCAAATACGATTAGAATCAATACACAAATTGAGAAACAAATCCCAACAATCACGTATACTGCTATTTACTTCAAATAATTTTAAAATATATTATTTACTTAATTTATTATCAAAAATATGATATTTACTACAATTTTTTTTTTGAACATTTCCCCTTTCCCTTGAGCCAAGGTCTTTGTCGTGACCAAATTATTTGGCATTTCAACCCTAAAAGAGTTTATTCAGGGTATAAATTAGCTATGACCATTTGAGAAGGATCAATTGGGTTAGTTGAACGTAGCGATAAGGGCTGGTGGAGTGAGCTTTGGGTCTCAATATTCCTAACAAAGTCAAAATGTTGCTAACAAAGTCAATGTTAGAGATGGCCAAGCTCTTCCTTGGTGATTTTCAGAGCCGTTGGATGACTACAACTACTCTGAGTACGCATCCTGCCTCTCCTTGTGACGTGCAATAGAAGTCAATGCTTCGATTTACGATGCAAGTCCGGTAATTCATGCTCGGCCAAGAAGATTTATGGTTCTTTCTCTCCGTTTGTCGTTGAATGTTTAGCTCTCTGGGAGGGTTTGCTTTAGTTGTCCAAGCTGGAATTCCTATTAATATTGCAGAGATTCCCTCTCTCTAAGATTCCATGTTGCAAATTTGTATTCATTCATAAGGAGGGTAATAGGGTTGCTCACGCACTTGCATCCTCAGTCTTCCAATTTTCTTATGCTGCCACAAGTATTGATTGCATTCCGATCTTTGTACGCCCATATGTTTTAGCCCGCTTGGCGTCTTAATACAGAAGCAACGAGTCAGATTGGTAACGTTTTTAAAATGATTTTATTTTCAATATAAAAGCAAAAATGAGATTGTTTTTAGAATCATTCTATGATTGATTATAAAATTGTGTTTAGTTACTTTTTTAAGAAATTATTTTGAGTATAATAAAAGAGTAAAATCGTGTTTGGTTATGACTATTAATTAATATATTATAACATTGTTGATAAGTATTAGGAAATGAAAACAGAAAAGGAAAAACATTCAACCGCTTTCTAGTTCATTCACAAAAATCATTCTCACTGTCTGTTTTTTGTTTTCGTTTTCAAAACATTTGCTAAACAAATACGGTTTGAAGACCATTTTCATTTTCATGCCTCAAAAGGTGTGCAAAAACGCTTTCAAAAATAAACAAAAATTAATTCTAAACGTACACTACGCTTTTTCAAAAAAAAGGAAGAAATAATAAATAAAAATTAAAATTAAAATGTTTCCCTTGCCATTTAAACCACAAAATGTAATTTCAAAAAAAAAAAGGGAAAAGTAAGTATACAAAATATTGAAAAACTATGGTTAATCTCACAAATAGTCCATAAGGTTTATCTTCAATTCCGCTTTAGCCCTTAACTTTTAAAATGTCTTTACAATTGGTCCTTGATGTTTTACTTTGTTTCAATTTCGGTCATTCCGTTAGCTAGGTATTAAATATATAACGGAATATGTGAAAATTAAGGACCAAAACTGGAAAGATCTAAAGTTTATGGACTAAAACAATAAAAAAATAAAAGTTAATCTCCACAAATAGTCTCTAAATTTTAACTGTTTTCAATTTTATTTTTCCATTCACACAGATTCTGTCAAATATTTAACACTTAATGAATGGTAGAATTGAAATTAAAATAGAGTAAAACTTTAGAGACCAACTGTGAGATATTTTAAAAATCAAGGACTAAAGTGAAATTAAAAGTAAATTTCAGAAATCATTTGCGTAATTAACCCAAAAACATATATAAGAGAATAGATATGGAACAAGGGCAAACTATTCTTTAATAATATTAATCTTTTAAATTGATTTTGACCTCTTAATAAATAGCCCTATCAGAATATATCAATTTAAACAAATTGAAAACAAAATAGGTAATATTGAACAAATGAGACAATATTAATTTCACATTAATTTTTAAGAGTCAATTTTAAAAAAATTTCAATGAAAAAATATTCATACTTATTTCACAAATTACTTCAATACGGTAAATATCACAACTTTTTTGTTCTATTTTCCCTCTATTTTTTTATGTAAGGAAGTATTAACAAGAATACACCCTAAAAAATAACAATACAATAATTATAAAATGTTTAAAAATGTGTACCAGTATGGATAATATTTATTTTTAATTAATATCCTTTTGTTTAATATAATTAGTTGATTAAAAAGGATATTAATTAAGAGTAATGAGTGAAAATCTAAACACGATGCACTTTATATGGGTATTTATCCCCTTTCTCATCAAACATGCTTTTATTTTGAATATTTGTTGCGTAAATCCATGTGTCAATAATGGCATTCGACGACATATAATATACTTATTCTTAGTATATTACAACTAGTAACAAAAACATGAAGGGTTTGTTCAGTTGCATTTTTTGAGTTATGATGATTTAAGTGTAGATTTTGAGTTGAATTTGAGTTATAACTTGAGTTGAAGTTGTAACTTGAGTTTGTGTTTGGTTGTGTACATTTGAGTTATGATTTGAGATGAGAATCTTTTTGAGTTTGTCTTTGGTGGGTCAAAACTTGAGTTTGTATTTAGATAGTATTTTAATAAAACTCAATGATGATGAAAAATTTTAATAGAATATATGAGTGAGGTTTTATTCGTCATTTAGTTGTGAACGATAAAAAAAATTATCTCAATCGGAATTAAAACGAAAAAGTAAAAGCATTTTTACAAATAGAAAAACTACTATTCATTAACTTGAGTTTGAGTTTAAGAACTTAGTTGAAGCAAAAACTTGAACTCAGATTTTAATCCCAAACTCAAGTTAAAATTCAAGGTAAATCTTAAGTTCAAACTCAAATTTTACAAAAGAACATGAGCTTGAATAACTTGAGTTCAAATTTTTTTTTGAGTTTAAGTGCAAACGAATAAGCCCTAATTTTAGTAATACTTATTCCAATCAGGCAAACACTTTCATAATATCCTTTTTTATTATTTTTTAATACTAAAAGAGAAAGGAATGCCACCACTTTTAAGTAAAGCTCATAGTGAACCGAACCCTTAACCTATGATTAGGGTGCAAGGGCCTACAACTAAGTAGGCTGTATTCATCCGTTAATATCCTGCTTTATTATTGATACAATAAATTTAATATTAATATTTAAGTTGTGTAATAGTGCACGATAATGGTTTTTTTAACTGAGAAAGCACTATATTATAAAAAAAAATTATTTAGCACATTTAACCAAACAAGAGGGACATCCTCTGACCAAATGAGTTTATCATCAAGTTGAAAAATAATTTTTACAAATTCCAAATTCACTCTAAATAACAACATTATGTGAAATGTATGACGCGTTTAAAATTCGTTTCAAAATGATTTTATTTTTTGTATGAAAATGAAAATGAAAACTTTTTCAATCTCAGACAGAAATTATTTTTGAAAATATATTTAGTAGTTTTATCAAGAGATTATTTTCAGTGTAAAAAAACCCATTAATATCTCTCTTTCTCTCTCTCTGCTCGAGAGAGGAGAAAATGAAAACAAAAAATGAAAAATGACTAAAAGTTGTTTTTTATTTTTCTTTCATTTTATACTAAATCAAAAAATTATTTTTATTTCCCTTTTTGTTTTTATTGTGCAAAATACCGTTTTAAAAACATTTTTATTTTTTTCTCAAAAAACATGAAAATAAAAATGGGATCAATTCTAAAGACATGAATTTTTAGATTTGATTGATATTGAATGATATTTGTAACAAAACGGCATATTTGTAATAATCAAATCAGATTCTCATCATTCAAAAAAGAAAGGAAAAAAAAAGGAGAATTATTTGTTTATTTTGCTGATTCGAGTTAAGATGTGATTTTGTGTGAGAGTTTTTTACTGTAGTAAAAAAGTTAGATGTGACTGTTTCTGAGAGCTTTTTACTGTAACAAAACTTAAATTCTAAACTCAAATCGGCGAAATGAACGGACCTTCGAACTTTTAAAAAAAAAAAAGAGAGAGAGAGAGAACGGAGAGGAAAAAAAAAATTTAAATAAAGAAATGAGAAAAAGAAAAGGGGAGACAAGAGAGCGTTATACACAACACGCATATCAGATGGCTAAAAATTTCACTTCGCACGCACACTCGCATCACATATACTCTCTCTCTCTCCTCTCTCTCTCTCTCTCTCTCTCTCTGGTTTCCCCTTCTTTGACAAAATCCTATTTTCGGAGGCCTTTTTTCTTTTCCTTCTATATTCCGCCGCTATTTTTATGCGCTTCCATCTTCTTCTTCTTCTTCCCCACCTAGGGTTTCTAGGGTTTTCAGAGCTTTCTAGGGTTTCTCGAGCTGGATTCCCTCTCCTTCATCAGGCGAATCTCCATGCGCCGCTGGTTCAGCGGCTTCGTTGATTAGTCCGTCCTCTCTCTCTCTCACATCACTCTTCTTAGTAGTTTTCCCTCTCTCTCTGTCTGTCTCTCTCTCTCTCTTCTCTCTCTTCTCTCTCTATTTGTATTTCTCTCTCCTCGGTCGTTAAGGGAGTATAAAGATAATCCGTTTTCGCCTATGGTCGCTCGATTAGGGCAGGGTTGATTGATCTTTCTCCGCGTTTTCTGAGGGATTCTTTTCCCGATTTGAATGGCATTGGGGGATTTGATGGCCTCCCGGTTTTCGCAATCTTCGGTGGCGGTGGTGTCGAATCACTTGGAGGAGTGCGGTTCGAGTCAGGAAGATGGAGATTTGAGCTCGCAGCGGAGGGATTCGGACGTTGCCAGTAGCAGCTATGGCAATGCCACGGCCTCCACCACCACGAGCATGGCCTACTTGCCCCAAACCGTCGTGCTCTGCGAGTTCCGCCACGAGGCGTTCGAGGCTTCTCTCCCCGCGGGTCCGTCGGATAGCGGATTGGTCTCAAAATGGCGACCTAAAGACAGAGTAATAAATGCTTTCTCTTTCAATTTCATTAATTTCTCATCAGCTTGGAACTCCCTTTATTTAATTTCTTTTAGGTTAGTAGAAATGGCTTCAATTGCGCTTTCTGACAGAATCTAGGTGTCTAATATATAAGACTAATATAGATATTTTGGGATTAGGTGCTGGTATCGTGAACTATAAAGTCTGATAATTTCCTTGCGTGTTTTTATAATCAAATAGAGGTACTATCAGTTGAGCTGTTTAGAGAGAAACAGAGTTCTCATTTCTTGTTTCTTCTGGCAATAATTCTTAAGGTGAAAGTAGTTCTATGTTATGAACCTGGCTTGGTAATGCATTGACTTAGAAAATTTGACAATGAATTATAATGTTTCCATGTACTGAGTGGCTAACTTTGGTTGGAGAGAATCCAGGTCGTCGTTACTTGTTGTGTCCTCCCGTTTAGGTTGGTATTTGGCCCTCCCGTTTAGGTTGGTATTTGGCAATAAATCTTATAGAGTGCAAGATTCCTCCCAAAAAAAAAAAAAAAGAAGAAAAGGAAAAGTAGAGTTTGTCAATGTATGTGTATAGAGGATGGTAATCGTCGCCTCAAATTTCAAATTATATCTACAAGATATAGAGTGGCTAATTCTGTACCTTGCGAGCATGATGGGATTTCTACGAAAGGCAAAAAGAAAAACAAAAACTGAAAACGTGAGAGGGGAAACTGATGTTGTAATCATGGTGTCCAATAGAGCGGCGATTAGAAGCATTTTACTGGAAGCAAAGAGTCTCACGCTTACTAGCTTCCACTAAGGCGTGATTTATTTCTCAATAGTTTAGTATCTATAGTGCTGCTCCATGTTATTGATGAGAACGGCCAGGATGGTTAGCCAGGATATGGATTCACATCCTGCATGGATTATCAGCCTAGTTTATGGTTTTGTCAACGAGGAGTCTTACTTTTGGATGAATAGATGTTTTTTCTCACAAAAAAGGTTGCCTGCAATATTTTTTCTGCAATCTACATTAACACACAGAGGACAAACAGAATGATAGGCCAAAACATGAAAGCACTATGGAGTAGCTCAAGGCTGGTTGATAATTTTGGGTTTCTTGGGTTTCTTGGCATCATACTGATTTGCCTAAAAGATTTATTTGGTCATGTTACCTAGTTGGAGTGGCAAATTGTGAATCTTTTGAATGATCGGAAGTGTGCAATTTTCCCAACGTGCGGTATTTTTTGTTTAAGGATGCTAGAAGGAGATGATGCTCCATCTTCATTATCTTTCCTTCTTCCCCCTTCTTTTTATTTTTTATTTTTTATTTTTTTGGGATACAAAGGGAAGGGGGAAAGCTACCACTTTTAAGTGGGGCTCAGGGTGACTCGAACCCTCAACCTATGGTTGGGGTGGAGGGGCTTACAACCAACTGCGCTGCCCTCAGTCATCCATCTTCATTATCTTTTCTGCTTGTTGCTTGTAGGAAAGGAGGAATGCTATGAAGGAAATAGCGGACCAATTTTTTTATAAAGTTGGCTTGCTAATCTTAAGGTTATGCACAGAAAATTATTAAGGAAGTTTTGAGTGTAAGGAGATCGATATATGATGCTGGAACATAATAAGGCACAATATTTGAGTAGCCATTACCTCACCAATGGAGATTAAGAATTTCCGTTTTATCCAAATTAAGTGGGTTTATGACGTTGATTTTCGTTGTCTTACTTTTAATTTCATTGTGTTATGAAGTTATTTAGGATTTTTTCCCCCTTGCATTTGAATTGAGGTAATTAAAATTTCAGTTTGGTACTTTCTCTTGCTTCATAAAGAAGGCTAATTTTTGCTTCCAATTGATTCCAAAATACCATATCATTTATTAGTTGATTGCTTTTGTATTTTTTTCCCCAGTGCATTGTTCTTAGCTACTTTGGTTTTAGACTATTTGATTGTGGATATTTTACCCTATATTTCATATGCATATGCCTGCTTTATTTTAATTTGTAACCTCCTTTTTTTTTTCTGCAGATGAAAACAGGATATGTTGCTTTAGTTTTGTGTTTAAACATTAGTGTTGATCCCCCGGATGTAATTAAGATATCTCCTTGTGCCAGGATGGAGTGCTGGACAGGTGCATTATTACAATGCTTCTTTACAATTCTTCACTTTGTCACTTGTGTTTTTATCAGAAAAAACTTATAGACACAAACGTGCAATCAGATCGTTTGGCACAAAATCCTATTATTCCTTGTATTGTATTTAGAATGGTTATAAAATGTGCTCTATTTCTTCTTGTTTGCTATTTTCTTCCTACTTTCTGCTGTGCAGATTTGAGCTTTGGTTTGCTTTATTTTTCTATTTTGATTTCTCTCTCAAACATGAGCGCGTCATCTAAGCCACCTTTTAAGTAGCCACTTTTGTTGATCTTGCTGCATGTGTTTGTTTTTTAAGTTGAACCAGCAAAAAGGGAATGCAATATATATTTATATATATATATATATTTGTCTTCTTTATTTTGATCAGGTTTTGTAATCCCTCTGCGTGTTCAATCAGCTCTGTTTGGAATGAGTCGTCCCTGCACAGTCCAATCCATGAGATTTTCATTTTAGTGTTCTTTGTCGACGTCCATTGACTTTAGACATTATGGTCTTCTCTTTTGTTTGCAGATCCTTTTTCAATGGCACCTCAAAAGGCTCTTGAAACAATTGGGAAAAACTTGAGCGCACAGTATGAAAGGTGGCAACCAAGGGTGAGGATATTATTGGCTTGTACAATGTCCATGTAATATCGTCGTAGATTTAATTTTATTTACCTTGAAGATATTTGAGCAGGCACGATATAAGGTTCAACCTGATCCTACCGTGGATGAAGTGAAGAAACTTTGTAATACATGCCGCAGATATGCCAAGTCTGAGAGGGTCCTATTTCATTATAATGGTCATGGCGTGCCTAAGCCAACTGCTAATGGTGAAATTTGGGTCTTCAATAAGGTCTTCTATTGCTTTGAAGCTCTTTATCTTGTTTAATTTAATGTAATTTTTTCAAATTTTGCTCGGTTCATTGATTTTATCGGTGCAGAGTTATACACAATATATCCCCTTGCCAGTCAGTGACCTTGATTCCTGGTTGAAAACACCCTCAATTTATGTTTTTGACTGCTCTGCTGCTGGGATGATTGTGAATGCTTTTATTGAGGTGAAACATTAATTATCAATTTGGCAATCTAAGTCTAAGGTTGTTATTCGACATAAATTTATACTTTAATTTGGATATATGATTATTCTTTTTGATGGTTGACAGCTTCATGAATGGGGTGCTTCGAGCACATCTGGATCCACAAGGGATTGCATTTTGCTTGCTGCTTGTGAAGCACACGAAACTCTTCCACAGAGTGCTGAATTTCCTGCTGACGTGTTTACATCTTGTCTCACGACACCTATAAAGATGGCATTGAGATGGTGAAGCTTCTTTCCTTGTTTATCTGTCTAGCACTCCCATGCTAGAATCTCGTCCTCTTTTTGTATTCTTTGATTTGATTTCCGATCATTAATACAATTCATTTCTTTATTTAAAAAAAAGCACGCCTATGGCCAATTTACTTTTTTGTTCAATTTTAGCAATTTGGTTTTTGTTTGATGACCAGTATGTGATGGATGATGTCCCTTGTGATGCATGGAGATCTCTTTTGTGAGCAAGTGCGTGATTGGCGTCTAGACGTAGTTGTAAGCCTTTTTGAAAAACTAGGTTGACTTGTGTCCGACACTTGGACTAACTTGCATCTTATATCAACATGATATAAATCTCCTTGTGTTTTGCTTCATTTTGTGAAGGAATATTTCTTCGTGTCCTATGTCTGCTTTATTTGTTTGTTTTAATGTTAGTAATAAACTTGGATATGTGGGTTTGTTTTTATTTTGTAAATAAACTTTTTTATGGCTGCGAAATGCTGATTCTTCGTATAGTTATTATGATTCATCCTTGGGCCCATTTCATAGGTGCTTTGTCTTGGCAATGATTTAGAGATATTTTAGACTTAGCCTAGGTAGTTTGAAGATACTTCTTTCATCTTTTAAATAATTGTTGCAACTTTTTGGGCAATGATTGGTGTCTCAAACGGCTCTTGTATTTGCCCTTGTGCACTTCCGTAAGATCGTTAAATTACTGAGAAAAGATAAGTAATCTTTATTTTACAAGTATTCTTCTGAAATTTCCCTGTATGCAAAAGGTAAGATTAGGTTGATGATGTAAGCTTAGGAACCTTATATCATCTTTGGTTAGACGGAACAGTAACTGAGTAGTCACGCATCTTCCATAATTGCATCACAGTCTACCATCTCTACACAATTATTCTAGTTTTGTTGGATAAGGTGGGGAAACAGTCAGGTAGTCTATTGAATGCCATTCAGATTATATTTGTGTAAATTATAGCAAACTGATGTGTAAGGCTATACATACCCCTGCAGTTTGCTTCCTATTCTTTTCTCTATTGTACATTTTGTTCTTCCTCCATTCCCTGGTCCTCTAATTGGACTATAAAGTCTTCAATCTTTTTTTCTGGATACTGAATTCCCATCCCCCATTCCCCCCCCCCACACACACACACACATAAATGTAACAAATTCTGAAATTGAGTTTGCTTTTATTTTACTAGTTTAGAATAATTCATTTGACTCGTGTTAGACAACTCCTATGGTCCCCATCTATTTTTTTCCTCTTAAAAGTTATTTATGTTTGACCTTTTCAGGCAGAATTTTGAGTTCTTTTCATTAAAAAGTCTTCTCTGTATTTTTCCATTTGACCTGAAGGAAATTTATCATGTCAATACTGGCTTTATGGGGGAACCACTTTGGCTCCCATCTATCTCTTCCTTAAAGTTTGTTTTTTCCTTTTTGAAGACACGGTTGTGATTTTTCAGTATGCTTTTCCTAATATTTACATCAAGTTGATAATAATATGCTTCCTTAGCGACAGCGAAACTATGTTGAGGCGCTGTTGCTTCTCTCTCTCTTGTGTTTGACGCAAAATTATTTTCTGGTCTGTATATTTTATGAGTTGATTGACGATTATGTTTCTCTCTTTCACTTGATCTTATTTTTGCTCAAACGATCAATTTTCGTCAATTCTGGATATATTACAGACCTTCTGATGTTTCATAAAAAAAAAAAGAAAAAAGAGGAAGGATAAAAGTACTTCTCACCATCTTCAATGTTCGCGTATCTTCTGTGTCATTCCCAAGTTATGTTCTAGACTATAGAAACCTTGTTCAATGCTTGACTCATTGTAAAATATGGAGTTAAGTCTGTTGGTTAGAAATGAAAATTCAACTGCTTGATCTTTCAGTGAAGTAATTTTCTCCTTGCATTCTTGGTGTCTATAAACAGATTCACCCTAGTTTCCAGAGGTTGCTGGGTTGGTTTTTACAGATGATTTGAACGTTTGAACTGTAAGTGCATGTGTGTAGACATGTTGACTCTACCATGCGTAAGAATTTAGTTCTGATTGTACTTCCTGATTTCCCTTTATGCTCTAAATGCTGGTGATCTTCTTCTTTCCGGATTGAACTTGCTATATTTAGTGGTCTCAGAATACAATTTTGCTCCTTGTGGGTTTCTTTCTATCTTTTTTTTTTTTTGGGTCATGCCTTGTCAAAAAATAATCTGTATATTGATGGTATAGGTGGTAGGTGGTAGTATGTTTATGACTATGATGTATTCATTTCTCAGGTTTTGTAAACGTTCATTACTACACGAATCTCTTGATGAGTCATTGATTGATAAAATCCCTGGCCGCCAAAATGATCGAAAAACTCTTTTGGGGGAATTGAACTGGATTTTCACCGCGGTGACTGATACAATTGCCTGGAATGTTCTTCCTCATGGTAGTTTCTTTACTTCAAGGATTTTGTTTGCCATGTATATGGTGTCTAATTTCTTTGAACAAGATTTCTCATTCTGTTCTTTTTAATCATATACTTTGTTGATACCCTTGTATTCTACTGCAGAGCTTTTCCAGAGGCTTTTCAGGCAGGATTTACTAGTTGCTAGTCTTTTTCGTAATTTTTTACTTGCTGAGCGAATTATGCGTTCTGCAAATTGTTCTCCAATCTCTCACCCAATGTTGCCACCTACCCATCAGCATCACATGTGGTACTACAGGCGATACTTGTGAACACAAGTTAATACTAAGTATTTTATTTGCTTGCTCTGTTGTCACTTTGTCACTGATGCACGTTGCAGGGACGCATGGGACATGGCTGCTGAGATATGCCTTTCTCAGCTTCCATTGTTGGTTGAAGATTCTAATGCAGAGTTCCAGGTGTGTTTTGTGTGTTTTCTTTCTTCTCTCATTAGCATTGTTTTTTAATTTGTAATACAATTTCATCTCAAGCATTATACAGGACGAACATTTGCAATCTTGCTTGATTCACCTTCTCACTGGCATCGAATTTATTTATTTATTTATTTTTGTTTTGATTCAGCCAAGTCCATTTTTTACCGAACAATTGACTGCTTTTGAGGTTTGGCTTGACCATGGGTCTGAACACAAGAAACCACCAGAACAGCTGCCTATTGTTCTTCAGGTAAGGTGGTTCTTTTGGCTCCTGTTTGGGGTTTGACCAACTTTTTTAGGATGTAGTTTGTATACCTGCACAGATATTTCAAGAATCTATGTTCCTTTCTTTACTTTTGGCTGTTAACGTTCAATGCCCATTGGATATGCATAATTATATTTCTTCAGTTCTGAGTTTCTTATGCAAGATTATGATGATTCTGTTTTGTAGGTTTTTATTCTTAAACTTTATTTGATTTTGATGATGCTTCTTGCCCTCTGAGTAGAAATTGGGTATTATTGCCTGCTCAAATGAAAGTACAGAGAGCTGTTCTGGAATGGGGATTAGGTCACTATATATCTTAAATGGTTTGGCTTGATATACAATGGACACGTTCTGCTACATGTTAATTGGTGTTCCACAGTTTCATTATAAAGTCGTTTCATGCTGCTACTCCAATTCCTCTTCTAGTCTGGTCATTGTGTGTTTGTGTGACAGTGTGAGAGTGAATGGTTGGATGGACTTTCTGAAAGCAATGTTATTTACTTTAATTTAATCTGTGTTTGCTTCTGGACTCTGGTTAATTTGTACCATTTACTAGGCAAATTCTTCTTTCTAGTCCTTGCTTGCTTGTGAGTCTGTATCTATATTTCCATGCATTTTTATTTCATAACGTTTTGGAATACAATCCTTTTATCGGCCAGGTGTTACTTAGTCAATGCCATCGTTTTCGAGCTCTTGTTCTTCTTGGAAGATTCCTTGATATGGGACCGTGGGCTGTAGATCTGGTACTTTACTGGGCTTTCTTGTTGCCGTTCCCCTCTCTTTAGTAGGGGAATGTAGCTATAATTTATTTTCTAAATCGTTTTCTGTTCTTGTAGGCCTTGTCTGTTGGAATATTTCCATATGTTCTGAAGCTGTTGCAAACAACAACACCAGAACTACGACAAATTCTTGTTTTCATCTGGACAAAGATTCTCGCACTTGATAAGGTATACCATATACCAAGCGCAATTCCGGATATACCTTGTCCTTGTCTTGAAGGCTTCGTAAATTTGTTTATAGTTCTTTTTTTTTTTTTTTTTTTTTTTAGATAGGCTTTTACACTTTTTTTTGCCTTAAAAGTTTTTTTTTTTTTT